TGATTCAGGCAGAAAAACAAAAACCCATTAAGTAGTAGATAAGGTTTAAGGGACTTCTATCTTAGTTGATCTCCACTATAGTAATATTAGTCATAAACTTTGTGCACCTATGTACCTGTTTTTAACCTTGATTGATTTTGGAATGTTATATCTCAGCTAAAGGGCAATACGACCATAAACTGTTCCTAAAAAAAAAAAAAAAAGATAATTGTAATCTCTCAGCACAGTTCCTGTGCTGATGTCATCCCACTGCTTGCTCCTAATGTATAAAATAAACCTCTGCTGAAGGCAGAGCAGGGAGACTTGCACCCAACTCTGACTCCCGTGTCTTCCTCGCTCCCCTTCCCCCCTTCTTTAGGAATCTCCACTTGCCGACGCCTTCCCACCTTAGGGTCCTGCCTCCAGACACCTCAATAGTTGGAGCTGGTCTCCAACAAGAAAGGAAAGCAGAGAGAGAAATAAACAAATATCTGTACAACCATGTTCATAGCAGTGTTATTCATAATAGCCAAAAGACAGAAGCAGTCTTAGTGGCCATCAGTGAATGAATGGTTAAACAAAAAGTGTGTGGAATATTCTTCAGCCTTAAAAAAGATGAAAATTCTGACACATGCAACAACATGGATGAAAACAACATGGAGGTTAAGTGAAAAGAGCCAATCACAAAAAGGCAACTATTATATAGTTTTATGCATATGAGATACCTAAAGCTGTCAAATTCAGAGAGATAGAGTGGTGGCTAGAGTGGTGGGGAGGAATTATCATTTAATGAATATAAAATTTCAGTTTGGGGTAATGAAAAAGAATTCTGAAGATGACTGGTGGTGAACTGTACTGAACTGTACATTTAAAAAGACTTAAAATGCCTGAGACAATAGGAACAAAACAGTAGTCAAAAGGGTAGATTAGGGCCCTCCCTGGTGGCGCAGCAGGTTAGCACTGCACTAAGAAGCTAAAGCCACTTCAGTATGAGTTTGATCCCCGCCCTGGAGGAGATCCACATGGTGCGGCAGACCTCTCCTGACCCGCCCACTGTTCCCCACAGCAGTGTACTTCGCCAATCTGCCTGTTCTGCTCCCCACTCTGTTCCTGGCGAATCCTCTTACCCTCTGCATCTCTGGCCTGTACCCCAGTTCTGTATGAATAAATAAATAAATCTTAAAAAAAAAAAAGTAGATTATATGGTAGTGGGTGGAAATTAGACTTTTGGTGGAGGTTGTAGTGTACAGATATCTATACACCTAAAATATATAATATTATAAACTAATGTTACTTCAATAGAAAAATGTTATAGGGGGCCCTCTCTGGTGGCACAACAGGTTAGGACACAGCACTGCAAGCTGGCCACAAGCCCTGCAGCACAAGTTCAATTCCCACCCTGGAGGTGACCCACATGGCGTGGCAGACCTCTCCTGACCCACCCACTGTTCCCCTCAGCTCCCCACCCTGTCTCTGGTGAAGCCTCTCACCACCCTTGCTCCTCTGGCTTGTACCCCAATTCTGTATGAATAAATAAATAAATCTTTAAAAAGAAAGAAAGAGGGCCCTCCCTGGTGGCGTAGCAGGTTAAAGCACAGCACTAAGAAGCTAAAGCCACTTCCACATGAGTTAGATCCCTGCCTGCCCCGGAGGTGACCACATGGCGTGGCAGACCTCTCCTGACCCGCCCGCTGCTCCCCTCAGCAGTGTACTTCATCGATCTGCCTGTTCTGCTCCTCACTCTGTCTCTGATGAATCCTCTGCATCTCTGGCCTGTACCCCAGTTCTGTATGCATAAATAAATAAATATTAAAAAAAAAGAAAGAAAGAAAAATGTTAGGGACTAAAATGGTAAATCCCATAAATATTAGCACAATTAAAGGGGGCAAAACAACAGGACAAAATATATAAGCAGGATTAGGCCGTGTCAGGTGCTGAGAGTTTCAGCTACAGCTTCCTCCCCCCCCCCCAACCTCCAAGTGGGAGAACATTAAAGTGAGCTTGAGTTCCTCACCTGCACAGCAAGATATTGGACTGACCCATTCATCAGGTCTAAACTCCAATCAGTATTCTTGATCTACTTCTTATATCCCTGCCTTAGGGCTTCAGCAGTGACCCAGCCCACCAAGCCCCTATCCCCCTGGGGTTCACCGTGTAAAGGGGCAAACAAACATTAAATCCCTAACATGTGCATGTCAGATAAAGAAAATGAAGAGCAGGGTGAGGAAGGCGCCCGACATAAGTGCTGCTTTAAGTCAAGTGGCTCAAAAGGAGCTCTTCACAAAGGTGATGTTTGAACAAACTCTTCAACACAGGAAATAAGGCAGCCTTGACATGGCCTGGGAGGGGGATCTCGGTAGGCGTCTAGGCTCTCCGAAGCATGCAGCATCTCAGGTAGATTCTCACCAGAGCAGTGAGTTTGAGATCCAGGCCACAGCTGAAGAACTACGCCAAGCCCATTCTGCCTATGCCTGTCTCCTCCCCTCTCCTAGAGACGCTTACCTGACAGTGCAGATGTAGGTACCAGAGTCCTCCTGTGAGACTGGCAGCATCCAGAGCGCACCATCCTGCACCCGCACTCGTGTCTGTTCCTCTGGGATCATCCCAGCAGAATCGTTTTTACGCCAGGTCAAGGTGATGTGGGTGGTGGCCGAGTCCCACCACCAACTTCGCACCTGGGGGCACCTCAGGATCACAGGTTCCCCTTCCACTTTGAAGTAACTTTTGAAATGCTTGCCATGAAATTGGCAATTTCCTGCAGTCACTGGTGGGCAGAGAAACTGCCATCAGTCTTTGGGTCCTGCTGCAGGACTGCCCTCTGCCTTGTGCCTCTAAAACCATGGTTTGCACCTTAGGGGCCCTGTAAGTCCTACTGTTACGAGTTCCAAACTACCAGATAACTTCAGGGCTATTATCAATCCCAATTTTCATGCTGTGGAAAAAGTGAATCCGGTTCACATGATGATGAAAAAAACAGTTTAAAAATTTGACCGTATTTTTCACTTGTTAACACTTTGTCATTATAAGCAGATCCTAGATATGTACAGATAGAAAAGGCTTATTTCTGATGGGATTGATGATTAAAATCCAAAGGCACCTCCGATTAAGGAAAAAGCACCCTGGCTTCACACTTTAGTTAGGAATGAGGGGTGTGTAGTAATCACCCAAGAAGGTGGGTAAGAGGAACCATCTGTTGCTTCTCAAGGTGTGAATAGGCACATCTTACTTTCTGATAACAAAAACCTCACTAGATAAACAAGTGCTTTCCCCAGAGAGGCTGCTGGCAGGCCCTTTCCAGTAAAAAAAAATCACTTCTTACCTCTGGGTTCTGCAGGCTGAAGAACAAAAGCAGAAACACCCATTACCAGCATGAACAAGATAAACATTGTTTCTGACAACTTCCGGAGGACACAGGAAGTAGACAGCTCAGGTCCTGGTGGTCTAAAGGAAAAGACAGAGGGGTCACTGGAGCCTGTTAGAGGGTGGTCCCCAGGATAAGGGGAGTGTCTGTGTTCCCTGCCCCACCCAAATGAGGGTGGAGCTGAGCAGGAGGGAAGAAGCTGGAGAGGGGATGGAGGAAGAAAGGATGGAGAGCCAGGAGACCTGAAGGAGGCAGAGAGACATGTGAAGAAGCTACGTTTGCCTATTGGTCTGGACTGGTTGAAACAGATGTGAGTGAGAGACCTGTGGGGAGGCTACCAATGGCAGCCAAAAACTCTTGATTTTGACTTTGCTCTTTTCCTCCCAGAGTTGTCTGGCTGTTTCTGAGCCTGTTCTATGGGTCCCCGCGGGAGGTGCTTTAGACTTGGGGTGGGCCTTTGGGCCTTGCTCTGAGCCAATCCCATTTGGGTGGACTTTTACCCATGAGGGCATGGGTAACTTGGGTGTTTGATTTAGAGACTTTTATCTCTTCTGAATTGTACATTCATTGTATTCAAGTTCCTTTCCATTAAAGGTCTTCTCCATATACCACATTGCAATCAGCTATTGTATCAACTAACCATAATCACAACAAGGCTGCTTCACAAATCATGCCAAAACCAAGAGGCTTAAAATAACATTTATTCTGGTTCACAGCTCTGCGGTCAGGAGGAAATCAGCTGAGCTCCAAATTATCTGACTTAGGCTTAGCTCCACATTTTAGGTGGGATCCAACCATGTGTCCCTCTTCCTGCTTGGACTGGTGAGCTACCCGGGAGATGATCTCGTGCAATGGCAAAGTCACAAAAAATGTGGGCAAAAGCATCGAGGCCTTGCTCAGAAGAAAGTCACCCTTGTCTGCCCACATTCCATTGGCCAGAGTAAGTCATGTGACCAAAACTGCCAGCAGTGGTGTGGGAAAATAACCCCCACATCTAGTGGGAAGGGCTGCAAGGTTACACAGGCAGGCTGAGAAATGTGAGCAAACATGCCACACGGGTGGCCACGCCTGTATCTTGTCTGACTCCCCACGGGAATGACAGCTTTGAGAAGTCCAGACTTATTCATAGCCATCATGACCTAGGTTATGCCCTGTTCCAGAATGTACCAGGGATGTTTGTCTGAAAGTCTACCAGAGTTGGGAGTGACACATGAATCCAGAAAAAAAATCTGTCACCGATGCCCTTGTAGGAATCTTGGTTGTCCCCTGTTCCCGGACAGGTATCGTTATAAATCGCTCACAGAAACCAAGATGACTCCTAACTGGCCAGGGCAGGGTTGACAAACTAAGGAAGTGACACTTGAGCTGTAGAAACGCCCCTCAGTCTAATGTTCAGAAACCACTGGAAGCACAGATGCAGAGCCGCTTCCACAGGGAGCTCCGCCTCTCTTGAGAAGCCAAATTGGGTAGTGAAGGATTTGATATGTTCCCTCAGCTACATGGGCTTCATAAATGTCTGAAACAAAAGTATGTTCTGTAACATTACCCCTATCCTCCCTTGGAGTCCCAGGCCACTTGGCCAGTGTAAAGAACGGATCAAGAATGTGCATTAGCTCATCATGTCTCCAATTGTATTCGTCTCAGCCAGAATCACTAGTTCTCCAGCAAAGACATGAAAGAAGTAGGAGTAAATCTACTGTATATAACCAAGGTCACTTGTTGGAATAAACGAGTGGCATCAGCAACGCTGCTATAGGAACTAGTGTAGCAATACAGCTACTGTGCTAAATACTGAACACTCACTGTTTCGTTCCCCCCATGATGTGAACAGCCTGTTAAGTGTACAATGTCAGAAGAGATCAACGTGTTTAACTAATACCTTACAGTTAGCAAGCAAAGGTTAAAGTTCAAACTCAAGACGACTGATTTACTCTCTGTGACAGATGCTTCTCACTTCCTCATCTAGTATCTCTCCTCAATGACAGAATCCTTAACTCTTAACTGGAGACCTTATCATTCCACACAGGCTACAATCCTATTTTCCCTTGCCATTAGAGGTGGTTATGTGACAAAACTGGCCAACCAAAGATAAGTGGACATGTTGCATGATCCTGCCAGGCTGTCTATTCAAGTCTCCTTAAAAGGCTAAAAATTCTCCCCAGTCTTCCTTCCTGCTGGCTCAGTAGCTACAGTTGCTGCACTTAGCTGCCATTGTGGATCACAACGTACTGGCCATCTGTTGAAAGGGTGAGGAGACAAGAGAAGAACTTGAGTTTTACGGGGTCTCACGAAGCTATCCTCTCATCCTGCACCACCTGCTTTCATGTGTGCTTCCTTTGCAGCACCACAAACCTGAGTCTGTGGCCTTTCTACAGTTTTTTTTTTTTTTAAAGATTTATTTATTTATGCATACAGAACTGAGGTATAGGCCAGAGGTGCAGGGGCAGCGAGAGGCTTCACCAGAGACAGAGTGAGGAGCAGAACAGGCAGATCGATGAAGTACACTGCTGAGGGGAGCAGCAGGCAGGTCAGGAGAGGTCTGCCACGCCATGTGGTCTCCTCCGGGGAAGGCGGGAATCGAACTCATGTGGAGGTGGCTTTAGCTTCTCAGTGCTGTGCTTTAACCCGCTGCGCCACCAGGGAGGGCCCTTTCTACAGTTTTTAACAGGGGGCCAGGGGCCTGGGGGGTGAGTCTTAGCAGGTACTATCAGTATTCTTTTCTCAGTGGTCATCTTTCTGATACTCACTTGTTTCAAGTAAACTATTTCTCTAATTGGTTCCAATTAATCAAAGGCAAGAGAAACTGTTCATTCTACAGTCAGATGAAAGCACCCATTCCCCCTCCCCCAAAGTACAGATTCAGGCTTATGCCTCAAATGATGTGAAGATTTGCAATCATATCTAAAATTGCTTTTCCACCAGAAAGTCTGGCCATGTCCTCTCAAGAGCAACAGCTAGCTAAAGCTTCCCAGAGCTACAGAGCTAGCAGAGCTTCAAATCTAGTCTCATTGTTTTCTTCTTTGGATGATGCAACTAAGTGGAACACGAGCCTTCTTCTCAAATTCACGAGTCCAGTCAGGGTGAGAAGTAGAGATGTTCCAGTGAGGATCCTGTCCCAGTGGAACAAAATCCTAACCTGTTTCAGCCTCCATAGCCACTTCCCATCCACCACACCCCCACCCTCCCCAGGGTGTCCCTGGCCAAGGGAATTGTCTTGGTCTCGTTCCCTGGACTTCAGCAAAATAGCAGCTTTACTCGGACCTCGCCAGGAAATGGTTTTCAGATAATTAAACCACAACCACATAGTAGCAATCATTTCCAATCACTACAACCTCAAAAAAGTTGGAACGAAGATTGCCATCATGTGGGAAATAGTCTTTGGCAGGCCTTGAGGGGGAAAAAAAAAAGTTTTGCAGCAAAATAGCTATCCCTCCTGCCCACTTTCGTTAAATTTATGTTTAAATTACAGATAACTTGACATTTCTACTTAAATAGGAGTTGACCCTTGTCCTGGAAGGAGGAAATGTCAAGAGGAGCTCATTCCACACCTCTGAGTTACACTGCTGCCCATAGTTTAGTATCGAATAGCTGTGTTGCACCATAGTCAATGAAAGAAAACAGAGGAAAAGGATGAAGATCAAGGCTAGGAAAACAACAGAAAAAGGGTGAAGAGTTTAGGGAGGAGAAGGAACAGTGAGGTGGGAAGAGCTGAGGGTGCAACGTGGAGCCAGACAGGCAGAGCTGCACCAGTGCAGCCACGGGGAACTGTTCACGTCTCCCGTCACTAGACACCTACCTTCTGCGCAGCATGCACATCTAGCCCGCCTATTTAATTGAATTCTTAAAAATTCCACTAGATTTTGGGTCCTCCCTGGTGGCGCAGCAAGTTAAAGCACAGCACTAAGAAGCTAAAGCCACTTCCACATGAGTTCGATCCCCGCCTGCCCCGGAGGTGACCCACACGGCACGGCAGACCTCTCCTGACCACCCGCTGCTCCCCTCAGCAGTGTACTTTGTCAGTCGGCCTGTTCGGCTCCCCACTCTGTCTCTGGTGAAGCTTCACACAGCCCTGCACCTCTGGCCTGTACCCCAGCTCTGTATGCACAAATAAATAAATCTTTTAAAAAAAAAAAATTCCACTATACTGCAAAGTTGAAAGAGCAGTATAACACTAGTATTATTTCACCTAGGTTCACTCATTGTTAATATTTTGCTCCATTTGCTTTATTCTCACTCTCTCTCTCGCTCCTTGCCTCTTTCCCTAGCTCTCCAAGAGCTGTCGTCACGCTTTACCCATCAATATTTTAGACTCCAAATAGCCCACAAAATCAGTGAACTATAGCTCCAGAAATGAGTTGTTAAGTACTTAAGAGGCATAACAGTTTTTTCTATACTGAATTTGAATATATTTGGTCTGTTTTTTCCTACTATGTATTTCTAATATGTATTTTAGTAAGTAAAATCTGCTAGTGAGAAATAACATGTCCATTTTGGGTCTCAAAAATCAACATAATTCTTTCTAAATCTGTTTAGAAGCCCAACAACAATAAAAGGCTAATTGCGCTGCATCCATTCAATACTCAGCAACAATGACAGAGAATCAACTGCTCTGTATGAAACACCTGAGAGAATTTCACAGAAAGTAGAGTGAGAACACCTTGGAGATGGAATTCAAACTTACATACAGAAATGTCCTCAAAACCTTAAGTGTACAGTTTAATGAACCCAGACCAAGATAAAGAACATTTCCAGCATCTCCAAAGCTCCCTTTTGTCTATTCCCGGGAAATGCTTTACCCACCCAAGATAAGTAACCATTACGTAACTTTTACTACTATGAATGAGTGTGTCTGTTCTTTCAAGAGTATCCTGAAATAAGGTGCTCTTCCATGTCTGGTTTCTTTGTTACTACATTTGTGTGAGATTCACTCCCTGTTGTGTTGTGTAGCAGCAGTTCATTCTTTCTCTGTGCTGAGAAGTTGAATATATCTGGCTTTAGTTCACCATGAAAAGCAAGCATTTCTGTCCCATCCCCACCTTGTTTCTGGAAGTTTCTAGAGAACTCTTCACTGATGAGTCAG